TGATTTTCTACAGGGTCCAGATGGCAGAAAATGCTATGAAAACTGCTAAAGCCAAGGAAAACCAAAATAAATCACCAGCTCCCATTCTAACAGTCAAGCTAAGGAGTAAAAAACCTAAACCATTACAGAATTTCCATAAGCTAAGAGCTGAACAGCAGAAATTGAGAGAGCTGCTGTCTGCACTCACCTGCTCCAGGTCCCGGACCATTTCTTCCTGGTTGCAGTTAAAAATCCTGCTGAACAGCTTTACAATCTGCTTATCATTCAAATTGTAAACTATTTTAATGACACCTGGTAACAGCATCTTAATGGTCAGGTATACATCACCATGAAAACCATCTGGAAAAAAAAAAAAGCACATTAGAACAGTGAGGATTTAGTTTCATGTGCAGGCTCTGGTTGGTTGTGTTCATTTGCATAATCCTGGGGAAAAAACCCACAATTGGGGCTTGGAATTTGTAGGGAAAATAGCCAAAATTTGCCTCTAAATTGGGCATCTACAACACCCTAGTGAGACATTTTTGTCTGAATACGGTATTTGTAGAGTTCACTTTTCAAAGTGAAGCTCAGAAATCACCACAGCACAAGGCTGGAACCACACAACAATCAGATTTGAATTTCCCCTTTCCTTCTGAGTCCAGCCTTTAAAGCTGATCCTGAGGGAGCAGAGAATTCCCAGCTGGAGCCATACCTCCTGCAGATCCCTTCCTGAGGAATTCCTGGATGATCTGAGTTTTCACGTTGTAGCTTGGCTTGTCGGCCACCATGGCGCAGAGCTTGCGGAACTCCCGCAGCAGGCAGTCCTTGTGCTTGGGGTCACACCTGGCTGCAGACAGGCTGGGCCTCTGCGCAGGGGCCTCTTCTGAGCTCTTTGGCTTGGCTGCATCAGACACATCACAGGTTGTTTTTGTAACCACGTGGAGCAAACGTTGAAGTTACCTCTGCCTGGCAAGGTGGGAACGATCCCAGTGCGCTGGCAAAGTTTCAGAGCTAAAATTTAGGACTTTTATAGAAACCTTCCAACTATTTTTACTCTTCACATCACAACAGAATTTCCTAGATCTTAATTCTACCAGAAAAATATGACTACACCATAGTGAAAATGAATTTCTCCTCCCAGATGCCTCTGCTTCATCAATTTTTTTTCTACTTTATAGGCTTTTGCCCTTGAAAGCAAAACATTTCCACAAGGTAATTTCTGGCTCTGGGCAGTCTGGAGCTCCAGGTGGTGTCAGGTCAGTCAGAGCTCACAGATGGACTGTCCTGCAGGCACCTGCTCCTCAGGACAAGTTTTCCTCTCCATGAACACAACTGAGAATCCCTCAGCAGTTTTTTCCAGATTTTGAGCTCCACATGGGATAACTTTAGCCTTCAGTTTGGCTGGAATGAGCCAATGGATGGAGGGATGGAATCAGCCTGACAATGTGGATCATGGCAGAACCTCTGTTTTCTTGGGAAAACTGGAAATCCAAATATCTTTCAAGATGTTCTTTTGAGACTGACAGCCTAAGGAAAGCACTGACAGCTTCTGACAAACCAGAATTAAAAACCCCTAAATCATCTACAGATAAAAACCTTCTGATCTGAGCCAAGCTAAAACACCTCTTGATGTTGAGATTAAAACAAACTGATTTCCCAGAACCAGTTTCTTAATTTTTACCAGAGAATCCAGAGAACTTCTTTGGTGGATCTTTTGTGGTCAGCTGTCCTGTGGGAGTGAGTTTTGCCTGCACTATCACCTTTTTCTTTGGGGTACCTCCAGTCTTGGAATTGGCTTCTGGAAAGCAGAAAGGTTCAAAGAGGCAGTCAGGAATAATCTCATACATCCCTCACCATCGTATGTAGCTCACAAAGCAAAAAGCCTTAAAAGAAGTGGGAATTGGAGGAGAAAAAAACCCTAAAGTTAGAAGAATATGTAATTTAGTAAAGATCATAGAAAAAGGTGGAAATGGAAAATAACTGATGCTTCCTCATGGGTTTTATTTGCCCTTGAGTTAAATCATCTAGGCCTTGTCCACAATCAGTTGTGACAAATGAATCAAGGAGTGTCACTGTAGAAGTGACCATTTCTTCCCTTTCCTGCAGGGCTGAGACAGGGATTGGAGCAGCACCACGCACTTTGTCCCTAAGCCACACAAATAAATCCATGAGGATTTCATGGCAAAGGCAAAGCTGGGTGACAACCTCTGGCATAACTTGAAAATAAGGAGAAAAGTGACCCTGACACTGCCTCGTGCCTCACCTGAGATGTACTTGTTGATTGTTTCTTTCTCCTCATCCTGCAGCTCTTCCCACCCCTCCAAGTCTGTGATGTCTTCGATTCTCTTGGTGGTGGCCCGGGCCTTGTCCAGCTTCTCAAAGATGCACTTAACATGGTACCACTCCTTCATGTCCCCTCCGGACTCGGTGAAAGGATTGGGAACAATCTTCCCAATGCGGACCATGCCCTTCACGATCTTCTCCTTGCACTTCTTGCACCCCGCGGTGCCTCGCTTGGCATAGTCCACGCAGTACCGCTGCTCCGCCATGTCCCCGGCGGCCGCGCAGGCCGAGCGCAGCCAGCCGCCCACCAGCAGGGACAGGGGAAACGCGGCAGCACGGCGCTGCTGCGGGGATGGCACACGGACAGGCTGCAACAGCAGCTGGCACCAGCACCCGCGGCTGACTCCGGCAGAGCGGGAGAACGGTCTGGCCAAGGGGAGCAGCGGGTGAGGGCAGAACAGCGCCGTGCCCCTGCCGAGAGCGCGGGCAGCGTGTGACAGCGTCCTGCCGCCCGTGGGCATCCAGTCCGTGCTGAGCGTGCTGCGAGCGACACAGGGACACTGAGCACCCTCTGCCCGCCGGGACACCAGGGTGGCCCCAGCCCCCGGCCCGGCAGCCGCGCCTCACCGCCTCCGCTCCGCTGCCCCGCACCCCGAGCCCTCACGGCCCCTCCTCGCTCCCAGGCCCTCTCCCCGAGGCCGCTTTCCCGCGCTGCCCGCCCCGGCCCAACCACCGGCTCCCGCCGCCGCTGCAGGCCCCAGGCCGCCCCGCCGCCGCTCACCGAGCTCCTCACGGTGCCGCCATCCCGGCCACTGCCCCGTCCGGACCACCGGGACCCCCCCAGCCCCTCAGGCCCGGGCCGCCGCCTCAGCCGCCGCCGGGACACGAGCGCGCCAGCCCGGCTTCCGTAGAGCCACGCGCGCGCGCGCGCGGCGCACCGGGCCCCGCCCCTTCCTGCCCGAACAGCTGCAGAGGGCGCGGGCGGGCGCAGGCCACGCCCCCTAGGGTCGTCTAGCCCCACCCCCCAGCACGCGCCGGGAGCGTTTTCCCGCCTCGGGCGCGGCTGAGGGGGCACCGGGAGCGCGCCCGGGGCCAGGGAGGGTCCGTGCCTGAGGCGGCACCGGATCCGTGCCCGGGGCCAGGGAGGGTCCGTGCCTGAGGCGGCACCGGATCCGTGCTCTGAGGCGGCGCCGGGACGGCAGCTGGGGCGAGGGAGGGTCCGTGCCCTGAGACAGCACCGGGTTCGTGCCCTGGGGCGGGACCGGGACCGGGACCGGGACCAGGACCAGAGGTGGCACCGGGTCCTCGCCCTGGGACAATGGAGAGTTCCTCCTCCATGAGCCGATGGAAGGACTGCCCTGCGGGACAGCGCCTGTTCTGTGCCATGGGGCGATGCGGGTTCTGCACCCTGAGGCCATGGAGGGTCTCTGCCCTCAGGCAGCCCCCGGTCTGTGTCCTGAGGCGATGGCTGGTCCCCACCGCAGGGGTGGCTCCACTGCAGCAGCGTGCCCTGCCCTGAGGTGATGATGTATTCCCGACCTCCCCAAGTTGGCTTTTCCAGAGCACTGCACCAAGCTGAGGCAGGTGTGAGGGGTGCCCTGCTCGTGGCTGAACCACACTGGCTCACCAGGAGTGCTGTGCTGCGTTAACACAGCTTTGAGGTGCTGTTGGATCACCTGGCCGTAGAAACCGTCCCTCCAAGAGTTGTAACACTGTGCACTGAGCCGCTGCCTTATCCCCAGCCTCATGAAGCTGCCCCTTCAGGATTGCTCTGCCATGTTGGTGCAGGTTTGAGATGCTGCCATGTCACCTGGGCCCTCAGTACCTGCACAGGCCTGAAGTGCTGCCCTATAACCTGCCGAAATTGTCCTTTGCACTGTGTTTGTGTGGGTTTGAGGTGCTGCTGTACCCCCCAGGCTCCTGAGGACAGCCCTTCATCCCAGTACAGGTAACACACACCTGCAGTCCAGCTGTTGGCTCTCTGCTGGTGGCAGCCACCCCTGTTCCTCTGATGGAAGTGCTGTTGTGCTGTGCCAGGAGGCTGCTGAGGAGGCTGGAATGGATGCAGTACACAGCTCCACTGGATTGCTGCCTTCAGCCATGGAAAGGATGCTGTGTGGGTTGACATGGCCAAGTCTCTGACCTGCTTTGCTGTATCTCAAAGGCAGAGTATGAGAAATAAGGTACAGAATTTGCTTCCCCAGCCACATATCTGTCTTTTTGTTGGCCTCCAGCTGGTTGCAAAGCAAGCTACAGGCAATCTTCTCTTCTTCCCAGCACATCAAACAAACCACACTGTTTGGAGCTGGGAGTGTAACAATTGTGGCCGGTCACAAAACTGGGATGAAATGTGACACAGGCATTTCTGATCACTGGGATCTGGCTGCGAACACAGAGTCTGCATTCATTTGCAATATTTTATATTGCTGTGTTTACTCACAGAAAGGCATTAATTCAATCCATGATCTCAGGATGGAAATGCACCTTCCTGTCCCTCATGGCCCAGGAGTGAAGGAAACCCCAAAACCAAAGAGAGAAACAATGTCGCCCAGCCAAATCCAACTGGGAGCTTTGAGTCACAGAAGAGGAATTGCAGAAGGATTCAGAGAGGTTTTCCTGCTATGAACTTTATGTGGAAGGCACCCAGACCACCACCATGCTCCAGATTTTTGGCTGAGTGCATTCAGCTCCAAAACCATGCATTTGGCCAACTTAGATTAAAATTTTAATGTGTGAGTTTAATGTGATTTGATTTTTAGTAGTTCAGATTGCTTTGAGAAATGATTTACAGAACCAGCAGTGACTGGGTGCAAGAGTTTGTATGAACACTGGGATTTTAGAGGGGAAGAGAACAAAACCCAGGTAGAGATGAGGTGTTCAGATGCTGTGATGTGCAGCGTTCAACAGAGCTTGCTGGGAGCACAGAGTTCATGGCACCATGGTGAGATTCACTGTGAGCCTGGTAAAAGGAATGGAAAGGCACAGGCTGACACTGCAGCACATCACGATCAGCTTTAAATAATATATAATAAATTATAATATATAATAAATAAGGCATCTGAGCAACCTGGCAGTGGTGGGATCTGCTGTCCTAACTGTCTAAAAGTCAGCTAAATGAGCTAAACTCATTTTAGCAAATGACTAAAGGCAGAGCCTTCAGACTAAAGGCTGCCTTCAGTCAGCAGAGAAACATTTCAGAGGCCTCAGTGAGGGTGAGATGAATTGCTCCTGGCTCCTTTCAGCCTGCAGGGGTTTGGATGGCAGCAGGGACAGGAGGGGAGTCGAGGCTGCCCCTCTGCAGAGTGCTGCAGGGACTGGAGATTGATGGCCTGGCAGTGAGAGATGCAGCGAGCACAGGCAGGTGGCAGAAGGCTGCCACGAGAAACTGGGAGTTTTAGATAAATTTCCTCTCTGAGAAACACACACAACTGCTGTTTGCTTGTTTTGGAGAGGCCTGGGAACGACAGCAGCAAAGCTGGTGCACTCTTAATGCCAGCTCTCCTCCTCTTGAGCAGGAGGTGAAGACTCTGCAGCCCGGAGCATTAATTCTGCTGATTTTCTACTGTGGCTCTAAAGGAATTGGTGGAAAGTTGAAACTTGCTTCTTCATAGAATCACAGAATGGTTTGGGTTGGAGAGGACCTTAAAGCTCACCGAGTTCTACTCCTTTCCACTATCCCAGGCTGCTCCAAGCCCTGTCCAACCCAGCCTGGAATGCTTCCAGGGATAGGCCAGCCACAGCTTCTGTGGGCACCCTGTGCCAGGGCCTCCCCACCCTCACAGGGAACAATTTCTTCCCAATATCTGCTGTAAATCTACCCTCTTTCAGTTTGATCTTGTAGTCTTTTTTTGTGGCTAACAGCTCTGAGATGGCATTAAGAAGTGCTAAGAAAGTTTCAAGTGGTCTATCAGGCCCTGATTTTGGTCACTGCTCCTAAATGTTCCCTGCAAGCACTTTCTTCCCCTGAAATTGCAATGTAAATCCACTGTTCTTATTGTGGGTGGGAAGGTTTGCAAAGGGAATAATTAAAATTACTTTGGGTTTTAGAGTCTTGTTGAAATAAACTCCTCCAGCTCCCTCTTTGGCCAGATGTACCTTCAAACAGCTGTGAGAAGAACAATAAATCCAGTGAATATATCCACAAAACCACAGGACACTGAGTGCACTGAGGGAAAACCAGGAGACAAATCCCTGCTGCTTAGCAAAGAACCAGGGAGAAATCAGAGCTGGAGTCTCCCTTGGTAGCAAATACTGGAATTGCTGAGCTGAGCCTCTTAACATAATGTGCTCTCATTGTAAAAGGCAGCAGTGACAGAGCAGCAGAGAGGCCCCCAGGAAAGCAGAACTCTGTTTAAAGTACTTCATTCCACTAATACCAAGAAGATGATGCTCAAAAAGTCAGATTTAAATGTTTAAGTCTGTCCTTGCTGAAGCCAAGTGGCCATCAGGAGTTCTGTCAGGAATTAAGATATATATGAAAGCAAAATAATGGTCTCAAGTTTTGCTTTTAGGGTTTTTCCTCAGTGTTAAGAAGCAAAAAACCAAATGTAGCTTCGTCTTAAACTAGGGTTGAAAATAGTTCATAAAAAAAGGTTCACCTTGTCCACATCTTCCAGGGATATCTTAAATTAATGGAGTTTGAACTAAAATTAAAGTTTCCTTGCAAGACTTCTGTCAGAGTTATATTCCAATGAATCCAATCTTCTTGGTATTGAGAAAATGTCTGGAATCTCACTAAAATCAAATAAAAGGAGGGAGATATTTAGAATTTTAATAACCCCAATGAACAAATATATCTCCCTCTCTGGCTGCTAAAGAAGATACTGAATCTGTACATGTGGTTTTATTAAAATACAAGCGATAAGAGAAATGGAAAAGATTATAGGAAACAGACATATAGACACCAAATACATTTGGCAAAAAGGGAAGGCATCTGTCAGTTAAATAACAGATCAAGAAGCCATGTAAAATGGATTTGCAGAGCTCAGTATTAGTCACTTATTTGCATTTATGCTCATTGGTAAGTGTGACTTTAGGAAGGGCTTGGAAAGGAAAAGTTCCATGGTCCAGTCTGAAGGGATTTGCATTGTTTTCCTTGGAGAAATGGCTTGCAAGGCTTCCTTCTGCCTTGTGTGGGGGTGAAAAGTGGAAGCTGGGTATAACAGGAGTGAAATCTCTCCCAAGCCTCTTTCTGCTCCCTCAGCTTGGTGGGGAAAGGGGAGAATATAATCTGTTGTCAGTTTAAAAAATAATTTGCTGTTCTTCAGGTCCCAGCTCTGGGAACAGTAAGAGGGACTGGATGTGATCTAAGGTGTACCAGTGAAAATTTGAAGAATTTCAGAGGAACAGCTGTTCCCTGCTGCAGGACACGGACCAGGTGTTCCCAAAGAGATTCACCTTTCCTTCCCTCCTGTTCTGTTCTGCAGGGCCTGCCGTGATTCAGCGCCTGTGACACAGAGCCACAGAGCTCCTCTGCATCCCTGCTGCCACTGCAGTGACATCCCTGCCTAGGGCAGTGACAAAAAGATGACAATGAATGTGGTGTTATCCTAAAATTGGTCTGTGCAGCCCTCTGCGGAGGAGACAGTTTTGGAATGTGAACTTTGTCCTTTAATCCAAACATAGCAAAAGTCTGCCTCTGCCCTCCCTCTCACCACATCTCAGCTGTCTTTTTGAGGGAAAATTTTGACATTTGGTACATGGACATTAGGAATATCAGAGTGCAGAAAAACAAATGGGAAATTTGTCATTTCTAGTGCAGATTGCCCAAGGAGTCATTTAACAGCCACCAAAATAAAAATGTGTCAGATATTTCCAAAGGCACTGAGGAGATGCTCATGCTCATTTGCTATTAATACTAATGAGAAGTGAGTGTCCAAATCACTTGGACAGGTTTTGGAAAATCTCAGCTAGATACGTGTCTTCCTGGAGGAAATTACATTTGACAGGAGGCTTCTGATGCAGGGAGAGGGAGGGCATTGGAGGCCACGCTCTGAATCCATTCTATTTCAGTTCAGAAATCTGCCAAACGTGTGTTAGACACAGAGCTGGTACCTCCACCTCTATTCTGCTGGCACCTAATAGAAGATCCTTTATTTTTCTGCTTGCTGCATATGCTGTTAAATTAGATAGAGGTATTTGCAAGGTGAATGACAAGTGTAATTGGCTATAAATGCTCCATTTAGAGAGATTGCAAACTATGTTTAAGTTACACCCAAGTGCACCTGTACTTGAGATGCAAAGTCATTCAGCTCCCACAGCACCTTCATTATAACCATACTTCATCCTCCCACACAAATAGATTCTCAGGAAAATAATTTCTCCCCAAATGTACATCTGCTGCGAATTATCCTGGCATCATTACACATGCCAGGTAGTGAACACAAATCTCATCCTCCGGGGTGGTGCTGATTGAAAGATGACACCTAATTTTGGGAAACAAAGGAAATTTAAAATAAAAGCTTGGCAGATATTTTTTGGGGGAGTTTGTTTCAGAGCATTTCCCAAATTAATTTGTCATTTCTGCTTGCCGGGAGAGGACTTTTTTCAAAATTTTAATTGAAAATTTTAACTGTGAATACTTTAGAATGAAATTGAAACCACAGTTGATTTTTTTTTTAAGTGACCTTGTCAGGCAATGACTGTTGCTAAAACCAGAGACCAATTCTGAAATTATTTTGGATGTTTTTGAGACATCCAAAATAATTTCAGAAAATCATCAATGTCTTCAAGACAGACTGTAAAAGGGTTTGTATTATTTTTTTTTATTTTGGAAAGTCTTCAAGGCCATTAAAAGGCTATTTTTAAATGCAAACAGCATTTTATTAAAACACTTTCAGTCCTGCAAAGGAACACTTGTGACTAGGAAGAAAATGATGCAATTAACTGGTGCCTACCTTGCATTGTCCCCTCGGATCTGGGCTTGCTTGTGGGGTCCAAATCTCTGTTTATTCTCTTAACAGCCAGGAACCTTGCAGGCTTCAAATTCCCAATTTCTCTTCTCTGTTTATTCCTTGTTCTAAGTGGCAGCTGGGTATGACTGGAGAACAGACAGGGCCAAGCAGCTTTAACTTTTTTGTGTCCCAGAGAATCTCTGTTCTTCAGTACAAAGCAGTCCCAGGCTGCTGTGCACTTTCCCCAGGTTCTTTCAAGCCACATCTGTCATATCTGCACTCCACAGCTGCTCTGGCCTGGTGTCACACATCCAAAGTGAAATGAAAGAAACTCCTCAACAAATCCAATATCGGTTGTGCCCTGCTGCCTGCGGTGTGGGGCTGAGCTGTGCCTGATTGCAGATCTAATCTCACCCCGATACCTGAGGAGCAATAATGACACTGCTGCATTTGCTCCTGCCCAGGGAAGCTGAGGGATCTTTTTAGCTGAATGAAATATTAACTAAATTAAATATTAGCACTTCTTGGGCTTTCCACAGCCCAAGACCATGTTTTGGAAGGCAAATGGAAATGCAGTTACATGGTGACTTCTGCAGACCCCAGCTCTTGGCCTGGACTCTTCAGCACATTCAGGATTTGTCATCTCTGGGTTTTAACAGAGCTCAGGAGGCACAGACAAACCTCTGCTTGGAGGGAAATTCTGCTTTTTAATGTCACAGGACCTTTCTTACTTTAGTGCTAAACTGTGTTATTTCTCTTTGAATCTTCCCTGAAGTAGTTCTGTGATGTTCCCCATTGCTGTGCTGAGGGCTGGATGTGTAATTAGTGACTGGTATGACTCCCAAAAGCTGCAGACTAAACCTTAATCCAACCTTCACGTTGATCACCCTGCCACATCACTTGAAAGCACTTATGATCAAGGAACTGCAATCCTCTGAGCCAATTCCACATTGGAGATGACTTTTATTGGGGAGACTGGATGTTAAAAAAAAATTAAACCGGTCCTCATTAGAAACTGGAGACATAAAAGTCGCCAGAGCCCACCCGTGAGTGCCTCTGCAGAGCTGTTTATGCAGCTATTTATGCAGGGAATAGCTCCCCTGGGACGGGCTATTTGCTGTTGCTGTTGCTCAAAGACATGCCAGTGCTGGAACCAGGGCTTTGGGTTCCTGCAGGAGCCAGTCCTAATGATGGCAAAGTGCTGCCTTTCCCTCTCTGGAGGGTGCAGAGGTTGTCACATCGCCTCTGCCTCACCCGTGTCGCCCTGGGGCATTGGAAATGGGATATAAACAAAGCCAAAGTGAATGCAGAACCTCTGACCTATCTGCAAATGTTTCTTCTGGGGCTATTTGTTTCTGTAATTCCTCAGAGCACTTGGGGGAGGCCGATTTATTGCTGCCTGGGTTATTTTATCCCTGTCCTTTCAGTGAAATGGAGCTCCTTTTTCTTTCTGAAGGGTTTTGGGGATCAGCTTCTGTGTGTCTCCAGCCAAAGAACCCCACATTCACTGCATTGCTGTCAGGACTACCAGATCCTTCCCTACAGGAGGAAAAATCAGGGCCCAGCCTGTCCCTGTCCACCGGGTGCAGCTGTTCCAAGTAGAGGGGCTTTGCTGAACTCAGGAGGTTCCTGCTGGCCCCTTTCTCCAGAGACCTGAGGCCCCTTGGCAAAACCCGGCCTTCCCTTCCCTTCCCTTCCCATTGCAATGCACATGAATGAAAACAGCAGCACATTGAAACAAACACATTTAAAACACCTTTTTAAAGAGCTTTTGTGCCTTGGTTGGCATCTGCTGTTGGTGTTTTGGGGAACCATCCCCTCCACACACAGGGTCACATTTCCTGTCTGACCCACCTGCTGCAGGTGAAACCCAATTAACCCAATTAAGGGCCTCACGCTGTTCTAAACACCACAAGCAGCTCTGGTGGTTCCTTGTCTGGACAGAGGGGTGTGGTTGTGCTCAGGGTCAGAACTGGGAGTTCTGTTCCTGAAGATATTTACCTTTAGGATGGGAATGCTGAGTAGTGCTGTTGTGGAACCATGCCTGTCTGATCAGTGAGTTTTCTCTAAGCCAGCTCTAATTGTCTTATGTAGAGCAGGATCTTTCCCTCCTCACTTCCAGGGGTATTTTTAGACTAGTTGGTAAGTCAGGGCTATGCCAGGACCCCAGAAAAGCTCTTGGCTTGGAGAGCCTCGAGGGAAGGGGGATGGGATCTGCCTTGTGAAGGGCTGACAGCTCTGCTGAGGTGCTTGGATCTATTCCATACTAATGAGAGTTTCTTATCTGACTGAACTGCAACTTTGCTTAACTGCTGTCCTCTTTTGAAAACCTATATGTTAAATTACAGAGAGACAATAGTTCCTAAAAGGCACTCCCCTAACCTTAGTTTCTTCACTAAATTGGATGAATCCAGTGAAATGTCTCTGAGAAACAAATCTTTTCCAAGCCTGTACTCTATTCTTCTTAACCTCTCTGCCCTAAACAATTTCTGAGACAAGATGAATGCCAGCCTGTGATGATCATTGTACATATATTCCACTTAAGCATTCACTTGGCTGATAGCCTGGAATAAGTCACTGTTGGGGGTTAAACAACTTCTGGGGCTATAGATGGGACCTCATTATGCAAAATGAGGAGAGTTATCATCGCTGGAAGCAGCTGTGCTCACTCCACAGAAAGTACCAGAGCTGAGGTTACCTGCTGCTGGAACCTCTCAGCTGAAATCTGAAACAAGCGGGGTGACCTCTCTCCCACGGGGACCTTCCACACTTTGCCTTGGTTTTGCTAATTTAGGATACCATTTTCTGCTAGGAAACGCAGGAAAGGAAGGTTTCTACTCCCTGTAAGGATTATGTCGCTGCCTTGAGATGCTTTGAATTACAAATGCTGCCTTAAATCTGGTTGGGCCTAAGGCACTGCTGAGAGCCACACCAAGGCTTTGACAAACCTTTCAAATCAGAGGCTTCCCATTTGAATTTCAGATGTGCCCAAGGCTCTGGAGCACCAGAAGGCAGCGCATCAGCACGTGAGGTGAATGAGCCTGCCTTTGTACTTCTCTGGGATAACCAGCATGGCTGTTTCCCTAGGAGTGTGTTCCCAAAGTGAGCTCCACCTCCCAGTGTACATCTCCATTACTCTCCATTCCAGCTTTGGAAACTCCCATCTCTTTTAGGAGTGTTCTGAACTGAAACTTTCTTTGGTTTTGGGATCCAGGGCTTTAGCAGACCCTGCTATGGGCTGTCAACAAAGACTTGGTTGGGAAATAACAGAACCAAGAAAATCAACAAAAAGCAGTTGTTCTATTAATTTATTAAATAATCTTACTAGATTTTTTTTTTTTCTGATAAGAAGTTCCTTTCCAAAGGCAGATAAAAAGTGTGCCTAGCCAAGTTCATCCTCAAGTGGGACTGGGAGAGAAATCTGGATAGTTGGTTTGGACTTCCACAGTGAGGGGGAGCTGCTTTGTCATGTTCCAAGAACCAAAAGATGATTAAAGATTCTAAACGTTTATGCTGCATATTTAAGTGTCTGTGTCCTAGAAAAATCACTAAACCAAGTAACTTTTTTTTGGACCCATTTGGAATGCTGAGGTCTACAGGCTGGATTTTGAAATCTCAGTGAAATGCATAAAGTCAGCTTAGATTAAGAATTTAACTCACCTGTACTGCGAGCTTAGAGTTGGCTGGGATGAATAATGAAATGATTGGATCACTCTTCCCACACAACAAGTGACACTCTCATGTCTGTGCTTGGAATTCAAAGTGGAATGGGAAACTTTAGAAAAGGAAAAAAGGAAACTTTTTTAGCTGAGCTTTGGTCTGCTCTGACTCTCTGCATTTCTCTGTGAGTTGTCTTCCTTCTGAATTAATTTGAATTCCCAGCAGATCTCCAAGCTGGTGGAGTTGTGGCATCTTGGGCTTGCTTTCAGATATCCACATGTTGGATTAAGTAATTTTCTGACCCAGAGATGGGGCAACTGAGAGGTGTTTTAAAAACTTTTATTCTATTTTCAGTCTCATGTGAAGGGTGAGACAATACAGATGTTATAATTCACACTATCACAATCAAAAGCTATTTTTAAATTACCTACAATACATTATAAGCATTTCTTGGCCTGTCAGCTTTAGCCACACCATGCTCTAGATGCCTTAAACCAATCATCTAAAGTTACCCCTCGTGGGTCCCACTACAATGCCTCTTTCACAGTTCTATTTCTCCAAAGTATCCAGTCTGATTTGCAAGGCCATCCTTTGAAACTCGTTTCTAGCTCCATTTCTCTCTCTCCCACGTTGTGGTTACTGTGCTGGGCAGCTCCCTCCCCCTCTGCATGCAGAGTGAGCCCTGAAAAGCCATCGACCAAATGCTTCCAAACACTGCCAGGCTCTCTCAGGACTGGCGTGGAGCAGAATGTCACTGTGTGCTCAGGGCTTTGCTCATAAACATGCTGAACTGTGTGCTGGAAATGGAGGATTCATTCTCTGATGGATTGCTCGCTCCCTGCATGTAAATAGAGACGTGGAGGGTGCTGCCAGGACCCTCCAAAGGCTTGGGTAATTTCAGGGATCTTGCCCTACAAATCCTGGGACTCTCCTGCAGATGGAGTGGCTGCCAGGGCTGTTCTGTTTTCCAGCCCCAATGGGATCCTTCTCCAAGTCCTCCTCAGCCTGTCCTTGCTTCAGGGCAAAACCCTGTTAGATCAAGGTGTCCTTTACCCTTTTAGGACCCTACAGAGGTTGCTACCTGCTTCTCACCTGTCCCTGGAGCTGCTGCATAACTGAAATCATCAATTGTTCTTGCAAACTGTTCCCCCATTTCACTTTAATACTTCAAAGAATTACTGGGCCTCGTAATATTGATCTATTCACTTCCTATCCTTTTACAGCTGCCTATATAATTTCTGATCCTTAAATCTGACAACTGTGTCCCCAAGATGACTGTTCTTAATGTTTAAATGATTGCTACTTTCCATCAAAACAATCTAGCATTAAAACTGGAAATACAGTGCAAAAGCAATAAAATAGTGTGTCTATGGATTAATTTCTGACTACCCTCTCAGTATAAAACCAATGTCTGGAATATAACTTGATTTTAAACTAAAAGTAGATCAAAGCTCTCTAAGCACGAACAAGAAATCACCTGGAAATAGTGCAGCTAGAAGGAAAAGTGCCCAAATTTTGTACATTTCATGTATCTGAAATGGCATTGAAAGAATTATTTCAGAAAGAAGGAGGGGTTTATGCTTTTATGTAGATATCAAAGACACAGAGGATTCCAAGAGTGCTAGAAAGAGCAATTAATGCACCAGGTTCTTCAGTAATTCCATTTTTTCTCTGTTGAGCAATACAGTGTGTAAACATTATTTTAAATTTTTTTAGTGGATCTGTGTTTCCGTGCTAAAGCATTGTATATAATTTGGAGATACAACTCCTATAAATACAAAGAACATTTCCCAGCTCCCTCTCCTGCCTGCTCTGCAGACCACCAAAGAAACTACTAATGCAATTTTAATTTACAGCTCTACCTTTTTCTCAAGCTCTGGGACAAAGATTCCCTAAAGTGCTTTAGAACAGAGGTCAGGCTGCATTTCTAACAGAGCTGTGAGGAGTCTCTGCTCTGTAATATAAACCCCACACTCTCCATCTCCACAGCCAAATCCAGCTGGAAGCTGCAGCTTTGGGAGGATGTGCACGTGGCAGCTGTGCACATCACATCTTCATAGGAGTGGTATATGCTTTGGAAAGCTGTGGAAACCCAAAGCACTGGGAATATTTCTCTGTTTGCTCTGGGGTGCCCTGACCCCCAGGGGAGCACTGACTTTGACCCTCATTCATGGAGAAAGTTTCCTAGACTTCAAGATAGACTGGATTCCACAAAAGTGTGAAATAGATTATAGAGAGTAGTGTAGGTGTATCACTTCTCATGGTGAGAAATTTAGGTTTGGGGATTTTTAGTGTGTTGTGGATGGAAGCAAGATGGAGGGCACAGGGTGTTGTCCTGGGTTTCTTCTTCACACTTCTTCTTCCTTCTTCTTCTTGGGTTTGGGTGGCATTTTGTAATTGGGTGGAAAAGTCCACATTGGGGCTCTTTGGGATCAGTTATTGGGTTAAAAGGGAAATAATCTAGTGTCAGTTCTTAATTGGACAGTTTAGTCTTAAAAGACCTTGTAACAAGAGATTGTTGGCCATTTTGTGCCTTCTGATGAAAAGCTGAACTCACAGTAGTGAGGCTGTTTTACTGAAATGAAATAATAAACACTTGAGTCCCAACATGAACTACCATCTCAAGTGCCTTAAATCCAGACCCAGAGAACCCAACAGACAGCCAAATTTCCAATTTTCCCCTGTTGCCACATCCTTTTCCTGCAGAGCCACCCCTCCCACATGGGAGGTGCCTTAAACACCAGCCCGAGCTGCCTGTCAGGATAAGGAGCCCAGTGCCAGGGCTGTGCTCCACGTGAAACTCTCACAGCCTCTCTCCCTCCATCTATTAACAGCTGCAGCCTCTCCCAGCACACTTCCCAGAGCTTCTGGCTTTTGGCTTGACATGTTTGTCCATTTCTTTGTTAGCTCACCCTGCAGAGATGCCCTGATCCAGCCTTGGCTGTTTGCTCAGGCTTCTCAGAGCAAATGTCAAGTGGCTTGGAACTGGCTGTCTTTTAAGTAATGGTAAAACAGGCGTGAAAATCAAATGCAGCAGCTTTTGAATCTGGGCGGCTTCCTGAGTATGAGCTTCTAAATTTCCATGCTCTGAGGCAGGTGCTTTTTAGCAGTGCTCCTGTTTAGCTGCTAGTCAAATCTCCAGACAGTTCTGTGATAAATACCTGCCAGTCCTGCATCTATCATCCCAAATATGCTTGGATTGTTTGCTTGTGCAGATGGAGCGTGTTGGGTGTTTGCATTTGGTTCAGACCACATATGTTACTTGTCTGATTCTTATATTTTATGCAAAGAAATGAGATTTGAACCATTTGTATTTCCACGGTACCTCGTCCCAATTCCTTCTTTTCCTCCCTCTTTTCTTTCCAAGATGCATGACCTCTATACACTCCCATTTTCCCTCTGTTTTCACTCCCTTCCACCAAAGGTGCACCACCTGTGCAGACAAAT